TATCCCAAAAGATATACAAAGGATACATCTGGACAAATAGTTCCAAGCAGGGAGAGCAAACTTCAAAAGTGTGTTTCTAGTTCCTAGCCCACCGACCTTTGGCCTAGATCACTGCCCACACCCTCCTAGTCGAGCTGTCGATGAGGCTAGAGCAAACCTTGGCATGGATCTTCTCCCATTCTTCTTAGACCAACTCTTAAAGCTCTAGCATTCAAGAGGAAGGCCTTTTCTGCTTGGCTAGCTCCCTTTTCAGGTAAGCCCAGAGGTTGAGGTTTGGTGAGAAAGAAGGCCACTCCAAGGCTACATACTCATGTTCTCCAAGTCATTCATGCACTAGGCATAACAAATTCGTGGGGTCATTGTCCGCACCAAGATGACCTCAGATGGGAAAATGCTATAGAAATGGAGGGTCGATTTGAGTTCATCATGCAAACTGCCCTCATACAGGGGCCTCTCCATGCGTCCGTCAATCTTGCGTATGAACCCCTCCCCCGCACATGTCACACATCCCCACACCATCACTGATCCTTGTCCCCATGGTTTACCGTCTGTTTGATTTGGTGGAGTTGAAGGGTTGTGCCTTCACGAATCCAGGCAAACGCGCGGTCATTGGAGCTGAAGCAGTTGATGTTGGTCCCATTTGACCAGATCACATGCTTTCGAACACAAATTGTCCACTCAACATGCGACTCCACAAATTGCAGCCGGCCCCTGATAATTTTCCGGAACAGTCTTGGCTTCTATGACTGGTGCACCGTAACTAGACCTGTAGACCCCGGTGTGTTTTTAATGATGCAATGGTGCACAGTCAACTGTGCAACGTTACCCTCAGTTTTGTGGTGTCTACGCTAGATTTGGCCGCTCTATTCGTGATTTTACCCTACAATGGTACGATGAAGACGATCCGTGATAAGATGGGCCCGACCAGCTAATTGCAACTTTGGCCACACCTCAGCATGGCTAGTCTCAAAGATACCATTCAATCCAAATTCATCCACAATACTCTTGCCTACGCCAAAAATTTTCACGATTTTCCTAGTGCTCACCCTCTTATGCTAAATGGTGGGTCCACGAAGAGTGCGAAGAGTTCCTTGCCGAGGCTTGTACTAACCTCGTAGGTAACATGCCTAGGAGGGTGCTGGTGGTGATCAAGGCCAAAGGTCGGTGGGCTATGTACCAAATACGCAATTCTGAAGTTTGCTCTCTCTGCTTGGAAATATTTGTCCGGATGAACCCTTTGTATATCTTTTGGGATATGAGTTAGATCCAATGTACTATTCTGGATATTTGTACTTTGAACACATCCACTATATGCCCCTCCCAAATCGTACGACCATTAAACATTAAGGCTTAATGCATAGTGGTCTTAAAGCCCTAAAACCCAAATTTATGCAAAACATACGGACAATTGTTTCCGCCACTGTATGCCCCGCATATGCCACCCATGGAGTGACTATTTCGGCGGGTGTTATATACAGGGGAATACGGTATTTCTCAGGTGATTTCTTTTTCTGTTTTTTTTTTTTTTTTTTTTTTTTTTTTTTTTTTAACAAAAAAAACTTGAAATTATAATTTATCCCGATCAATTGCAATAGGTTGCTCCGCACCGCAACCCAATTAAGAAACTGAAATGCCACTAAAATTCACATACCGCTACCATCATAGTAAAATTAACCCCAACGCGCACGGTTGCTTCGAGGTCAGAAGCACAACTAGCACTATATCACGGAGCGGCCTCTTGACAACAGCGAGTTGTGCTCCTGACCAACCAGCGCAACCGACGATTGCATCATATATACGGTAGTAATGACTCTATCTACCGACAAACGCGTAGGCCTCAATCGCATGGCGCCAGGGCTGACGTTTCAAAAAAATGCACTCTGATTTTGCCCCCCACAAAATTCCCAAGTCTGAAGGGTCATTTTTCAAAATTTCGCTACTCTGAAATCTCAGTGTCCAAGAGTCAACGAGTCTGAAATACTCAGGGTTCAGAATGTCGACTCAGAGTCCTGCGCCCAAGTCGAAATCTTGTATTTTCCGAATTCACACCAGGCCCCACGATTGGTTTTAGGGTACCCTGATTGCTCAGTGTCAGGTTCCAAAAAAAAAACTTTTCGTAAGCCTCCTCAAGAAAATTTACGCTGATTCATCAGTGTTTCCTAGCAAAAAATCGCTTTTCCATCAGGGTTCTGTACCGAAAAAACGCTGATTTGGCAACAATGAGAGAGGATTTCACTTTTTTTTAGTTGCATTCGACTGAGAGTAAATTCCGCATTCTAATAACAATCGTTCCTATTAGGTGAAATTCTCGACAGCTGCCCATTTGGTCAACTGAAAGTCTATCAAAATGTGATGGTCACGATCGATTGTGATGGTTTCGACATTTTTCAACCATTTGATGGTTGCAAGTGATTAACGTCCACGATCGAGCAACCGGGGCGCTGCAAGGGCGCGAAGTTTCTCCCACCGCCCAGTTCCACAGCTTCCCGCCTCCCCTCCGTTTTGACCCTCCCCCCTACCCTTCCATTTTCGAATCCCCCCCCCCTCCCCCTCCGTTTCGCTTCCCCCCTCCCCTCCGGTTGGCTTCCTTGCCTCCCCTCCGTTTCGACCCCCCTCCTCCCCCTCCATTTCGACCCCCCCCCTCCCCCTCCATTTTGCTTCCCCCCTCCTCTTGGTTTTGATTCCCTCCCCCTTTCCCCCTCGGATTCGATTCCCCCTCCCCTCCTTTTCGAATCCTCCCCCTCAGGGCCTGTTCCTATGCGACATAACGTCACGTCACTTCGTATCAAAACTGTTATTGACGGGCAAATTTGATTGGCAAAATCTCCCCTAACATGAAGTTGCCTGACACAGTGTCACGTAGGAACACACCATCAATAGAGCCATGGACAGTGTGATTTTTAGAGTTAGTTTCACATCGACTGAGAAATCAGAAAAGAAATTACGCCAGCTAGATATACCGAAGAATTCCGCAAAAAAAAATTCAGGGTCGCAGGAGGTGTGGGAGGAATGTGTCTGGCTGTGGGGACTTAGTCGAATTTCTGGGGCTGCGAAGCGTGTAGGGGAGAAATGTCACTAAGTAGGAGGACTTAGCAAAAAGAAAATTGTTGCGACCTGGTGAGGCTGGGGGTTGGGGGGGAGGGGATCATGCGCCAACCAGGGGGGAACTTCGTAACTCTCGCCAGTGTTTGTTTCAGTGTCGACCCCCGTTAGTGCGCTGAGGCATCAGTGTCTTGACAAAAAATTCCAGGGGAAAGGGGTGTGGGAGGAATGTCTCCAGAAATGGAAGTCTTAGCCAATTTTTGTAGGTGTTGGGGGTGTGAGAGGGGTGTCTCTAGAATAGGACTTCAACGATTCTTATGGGCTGCTGATTGTGCTGGGGAGAACTGTCTCTGGCTGCTAGGACTTAGCCAGATTTGATAGGTTGCGGGGGTGGGGGGGGGGGGTGGGGGTGTGAAAGGAATTGACTCTGGCCGTTGGGGACTTGGACGAATTTTTTGGGTGAGGGCAGGTAGGTGCAGTACTTGTATGTCTGACTCAGGGTCCGTACGCGCTGCGCTATGAAAACTCAGTATCCGCAAACTGCAAAGTCTGAGATTCTCAGGATTCAAAAACATATAACTCTGAAGGGTTCAGCGTTCAGAAAATGGCAAGTCTGAAAAATCAGGATCGGCCAAAATATTGGTCTGAAATTTCAGACAATCAGACTGAAATAGTATGATCAATTCAGCCCTGCATGGCGCCTCGTCAGGGAGATCTTAATCTTAATGAGGCATTGCAAATCTTAATGCTGAGAGTTAAGGAACGGCAGGGAGCTGGGCTTGGCAGTAGGGGAGGGCAGGGAAGCCACACATTGCCCGACTCGAGAAGGTCATTCCAGCAGCAAGCCACGCGGCCTCAGTGCCTCGGCTCCGTGACCTCCTCCCCCTCCATGTTCCTGCCCCCCCCTGCGCCTCACGATGTGTGCGTGGGACCTCAAATCATAAAGGAGGGAGGAGGGGGAGGAGGGGGGGAGGGGGGGGGAGGGGGTGCCTTGAGGTGCCTGAACACATGGAGAGAGGAGGGTGGAGCAGGAGCGGGCGGTGTGGAGGCGTTCTGAGGTGTCTTGACTTATGTAGCGGAGAGGAGGGTGTGGAGGGAGAGGGGGAGTAGAGGGGGGGGGTGCGGGAGCACGGCGGCAGGCGATGGCAGTGGTGAGATGCAGCAGGAGAGAGCGGGCGAGGGCTGGGGAGGGGAGGGGGGAGGGAGCATGCAAGGGGGGGAGGGAGAGGTGGAGAGGAGGAAGCGGGGACAGCAAATGCGCCATGGCCTGCACTGTTAGGGTGGGGGTTATCTCGCCACTACAGCTGCTGCTATTCCTGTTGCTGTGGTTCGGCGGGAGGGTGGGGGAGAGGGGAGGGCGAATGCGATTGGGGGGCGGGGAGATAGGTGGCCTGTGCTGTGGAGGTTGGGGCACTGTGGGTGGTGCCACAGCAGCAGCGGGAGCGGTGCAAGCAGCAGCAGCAGGAGTGGAGCAGGGAGCAGTGGCAGGGCTGGTGCAGGGCAGATCAGGAGGGCTGTTGACGCCATCAGATGGAGTGGCAGAGGCAGGCGCCAGGGGCCCGCTTGCTGATGTCGGCTCACACAGCAGAAGGTGCAGTGGGGGCGGGGGGAGGGGGGGGCGTGGTGGAGGGGGTGGGGATTTTCGGGGAGAGGGGGATGTGGGGGAGGGGCATGGGGAGGCGGGGGGGCGGATGCCACAGCTGCACTGGCAGGACGAGCAAGAGAGTGAGGCGTGAGGGTGAGAGAGAGCGTGTCAGGGGCAGTGAGAGAGAGGGGGGGAGGGGAGGGGATGGTGATGGCAGGCAGGAGGAGGCATGAGGGGGGAGAGAGCAGGTGTAAGGAGGTCAGGCCGCCACTATCGCTGTGCGTGCCGCTACTGCTGGTGATCACATAATCGGAGGTGAGTAGTTGGGTAGTTGGCATCTCACACACGCTGTCGTCCATGTTGCGCATGGGAGGAGGGTCAACGTGCTCCACCCCTCCACTGAAAACTGCTCTCCTACCTCTCTCCCCTCTGCGTGCTACTGCACCCGCATCATCACCCATGACGTCATCATCATTCATGGCAGCCCCATGGCACGCGTGGCACGAAGAGGGATCTTCCCATGGCAGTTGAGGTGGCTCCAAGGTGCAGTCGTCCCACGACAGCTGCTCGCACGCCAGCAGCCACTCAAGCTCGTCCGCCCAGCTCTCCGCCTCCCCCACGCGCGCCTGCTCCACCTACTTCGTTACCCGCATCTCCTCCCCCGCCTCTGCCTGCTCCACCTGCTGCTCCATGCGCCGTTCTTCCAAAGCTGTGTCTACGCGCACGCCACCAGTGCCACCACTGCCACCGCTGGCATAGCTGGTCACAGCAGCAGCAGCAGCCACAGGACTTTTCTCTTCCTGCCTTGCATCGTCCGGTGCTGCAGCCTGCCTGTTAAACAGACTCCTCTGCCCCCCATGCTCCTCGCCCCTCTCCTCAGCATCACCAGCATCCAGCAACCCCGACTCGGCAGGCTCCGTTGGCAGCAGTGCCCCCAACGCGGAGCGGTCACTGGCAAGGGGCGCGCCCTGGCGCGGCTCTGTGGGCTCCGGTGCAGCTGGCGCAGGACAAATGGGGGAGAGAGGAGGCGGAGGGGAGTGCTTGGGTGTAACAACCCTTGCCCTTATAGCATGGGCTAACAAGGGTTGAAGTCAAACCAACATCCAAGATCCTAGGATATAATAGTGAAGTACAAAGTCAACTAGCGATCTCCTAGCGTTGTACTTAGGAAGAACCCCCTCGAAGAAGTAGCCTAAGCTTGAGGAAGGCTCTTTGAGAATAGTAGTTAGGGCTTTGGTTGGGTAGGTTTTCCCCTAGGAGACTACACTAGAAGCTACTATTGTAGGAAGGCTTGTGAGGGGAGCTCATGACTTAGAGAAAAATCGCATTTGAAGATTGATTTCTTGGAGTGGGAAGTTGAGAATGAGCTTCTCAGCCCAAACCCCTTCCAATGACTCCCAGGAGCTACTGAACCTCCTCCATGGCTCCAAAGGGGTGAGGTAGCTTATGTGGCAAAGGGTTGGATTTCCAACCAATGAGAGGTTTACAACAATGTATTCAGATTAGCATATGGTGTACAGCATAGGAATATTCGAGTTGAGTTGGCATTGCGAACCAACTCCCTGATTCTGATTGGTCGCATATCCAACTATCGCGTGTGTTGGGAATTTCGCCAACTCAATCTGTACAGCTAAAATTTGATTGGTCCCAAGTATCGACCAATCCCAATCCTCCCCTCCCAACCCTTCCTTCCCATCTCGCACTACCTAACGTAGGTGGGCAACTCTTGGAAGGTAGTTGGGACGGTTGTTTTTGTTATAATCACAACAGGTTCAGATGTGCCTTAAATGAGAGATAGAGGGCACAATCGAATTTCTGTCAGACAGTTTAAAATATTGATACCGATCTGATCTGTGACTCAAACGATGATATGTAAGTTGGATCTGGAGCGTGTTGCCCTCGCCAATCAGCAGCAAGTTAAATCATGAAATTCTATGAAGATTTGACGACGCTATGGAGGTTTGACTTGCAGGAGGTTGAGCAGCCTCTATATACTTAGAAGTACAAACTTAGCAAGAAGAATCGAGCTTGAGATGGTTCCCAGTGTTATGAATGAACAAGCAGAGTAGCGCGGAAATGAATAACGAAGTGTTCACTCAATGGATGACGATACAAGGAATGGCAAGCCAAGATATAGGAACACCAGAGCTAGTCTAACCATGCGATGGGAAGGTTCGGGAAGGAGATCGAAGGGTCTCGAAGTGACGAAGCGAGGCTTGGAGAACTCCCAAAGGTCGAACCGAAAGGTCTGGAAAAGCCGAGGCGGTTCTGTCAGAAGGTCTGGAACAGTCCCGAGGCTTCAGGTGTGTTCGAGCGTACGCGATAGCAGTACCGCTCGGTAAGGAATGGAAAATTCCTTACACCACCCCCCCCCTTAGCGAAGGTGATCTATATCAGTCACGTGCTTGCGGTCCAAATAATTCGCAAGTATCGAAGGTGACTGTATCTGGTCCGAGGGCACCCACGTGTCGTCCTCACTGGTACGATTGGTCCACCGTATCAGAAAGTCAACGTGTCGTCCTTGACCGTCGATACGAATCCGATGGCTCAAGATTTTCGAAGGCTCGATGGTCGTCTCGGCTGGTGGCCGTACATCTGGAACCAATCGCTGTCGAGCGATGTCCGACGTGTCAGGAACGAAGGGTCGCAACAGACTCACATGGAATTTGTTGTGAATTCGCCAATCATCAGGCAGGCGTAACTGGGCGGTCACCGGCGTCACCATCTTCATGATCTTGAACGGGCCATAGAAACGTGGTCGCAATTTTGTTGGTAGTGGCAGTCGTAAATTCTTGGTGTCCAGAAGGACTAGTTGCCCCGCTGTCATCGTAATATCCCGGCGATGTAAATCCGTATACCGTCGGGCAGTTGCGTTCGCCTTGCCAATAAGTTCGACAGCTTTGTCTCGGGCAGTCTGTAGTTCTTCGACGAACTGCTGCGATTGTGGTACTTGACTCTCAATGTTGGTGGAGATCGGCACTGTAGGGTCCATCCCGTAATTGAGGTAAAACGGGGAGTGATTAGTCATAGCCGAGGGTGCGTTGTTGTAGGAAAATTCTAACATGGGCAGCACATCCTCCCATTTGTTTCGGTCGGGGCAGTTTGTCCGAATCAGCTGCTCCATCGTTTGGTTTGTCCTTTCCGTCTGGCCGTCCGTTTGGGGATGATACGCGGATGAGAACTGTAGACGCGTGCCGTACCGAGCCCACGTGTCCTGCCAGAATTTGGACGTGAACTTCGGATCTCGATCGCGAATGATTGCTGCTGGTATCCCGTGTAGGCGAACGACGGTTGAGATGAACAGGCGCGCTGTTTCTTCGGCTGTGATGGTTGTACAACATGGTGCGAAATGTGCCAATTTCGTCAATCGGTCAACGACAACCAAAACCGCGTCGTTTTCGCTGGGTCCGGCCGGTAGTCCCGTAACGAAATCCATCGTTACGTGTTGCCATGGGCGTTGAGGTGGCTCGAGGGGCTGCAACAGTCCTGTGGGCCGCTGGTGTGACGACTTCATTCGCTGGCAGATCGGACACGCGGCCACGTATCGCTGCACGTCTGTCACCATATCTGGCCAGTAATAAAACCGCTGCAACGCCTTCAGAGTTTTATCAACCCCGAAATGTCCCGATAAATTCGAATCGTGGACTTCTTGAATGAGTAATTCGCGAAGTAGACGATAACTTGGGACCCGAATTCGATCAGTCCCGCTTCGTAAGTACTAGACGCCTTTCCGCGTAGTGATTGGGAGATGGCCGTCATTTACGAAGAAGGGGTCAGTCGAATACCTGTGGGTAAATAGTCCACTCAGTAGCGGGTTGCTCTGGGCGACTAGTACTGCTGCGAGTTGGGCAGATGGTCTGGAAAGGGCGTCGGCAATATTGTTGGTGCCCTTTTTGTACATGATCTTGTACGTGATCTTGTACGTGAAGTTCGACTCCAGATAGTCCAGCCAGCGTATCTGCCGCGGGTTGAGATTCGGCTGCGCCCTCAGGCACTGTAGTGATTTGTGATCGGTTCGCACCGTCACGTCTGCTCCAGTCAGGTAACACCTCCAGATTTTGAACGCGTGGACGATCGCCAGCATCTCCTTGTCGTGTACTGGGTAGTTGCGCTCAACAGATTGCATTTTCCGAGACTCGTACGCGATTGGTTGAAGCCCGTTGCCGAAATCCTGCATGAGCACTGCTCCGATGGCGATGTCACTTGCGTCGGTGATGACTTCGAAGGGCCGTTCCGGGTCAGCGATGCGAAGTACCGGTGGCGACATTAAAAGAGTTTTTAATGTCACGAACGCAGCTTGCTGCTTCTCCCCCCACTCGTAAAAAGTCCCCTTCTGCAGTAGGTCCGTTAGAGGTCCAGTTAACCCCGCCATGTTGGGTATAAACCTTCGCACATAATTGACGAACCCCAAAAATGATTGCAGCTGCTGCAGATTTGTTGGCGGGTTCCACTCCTGAATAGCCCGGAGTTTTTTCGGGTCTATTCGAATCCCCTCCGTGGAGATCACATGCCCCAGGAACTCTAGTTCTTGTTTTAAAAACTCGCACTTGGAGCCCTTGGTGATGAGACGATGCTGCTGCAACCGCTGAAAAACTGCTTCCAAATCTTTTAAATGCTGCTCCCGGGTCTTGCTATAGATCAGGATGTCGTCCAGGTAAATTATTACGCATTTGTCGAGTAGATCGCGGAATACCCCATTCATGGTGAGTTGAAACATCGAGGGGGCGTTCGTTAATCCAAACGGCATCACCGTGTATTCGTAACTCCCATAGCGAGTACGAAACGCGGTCTTGTGGCAGTCGTCAGCGAACACTCGAATTTGATGGTAACCGCCACAAAGGTCGATCTTCGAAAAGTAGCGAGCTCCGCGAAGGTTGTCGATCAGTTCGTCCGTTCGTGGGATTGGGTAGCGCGATTTAATCGTTACCCGATTAAGGGCACGATAATCCGTACACATGCGAAGGCCGCCGTCCTTTTTTGGCGTGAACAGGATCGGTGCTGCGAACGGGGACGTGCTTGGCCGAATGAACCCTTTCGCCAACAGGTAGTCCAACTGGTTTCGAAACTCCTGTAGCTCCGGCTGAGTCAGGCGCCATTGTGTGCGTACAGTAGGTTGCGCGCCGGGCTCCAGCTCGATTTTGTGGTCCTGGGGTCGTTCGGGTGGCAGTCCACTTGGCAAGTCGTCCGGGAAGATCTTAGGATATTCTCGAATGATTTTCGCCAAGTCATCCGGGACCGGGGCGCAGAGTTTGTTGATGTCGGTCGCCTCATTCTGCTCCGTCGATTCGGTTAGATGGACGGCGTATAAATCCGCTCCATTCTTGACCGCTCGCTTGAGGCACATCGCGTTGACTCGTGTCGATGTTGTCTCTGCTTCCGGCCACGTGGGTAATTTTCGCCAACCCTTGTCGCACTTCACTGTGCACTCGCCTGTTGTCCAATCGATCTGCGGGTTGAATCGTCGCAGCGAATCGCGTCCCAATAGCACGTCGTAGCCGTCGAGCGTTGTCGCCAGCATCGGCGCGCTGAAACCAAAATCGTCGCCACACTTCATTCGAACGACAGGTACTTTGTCGCGTATCGCCAGCGGGGTGCCGTCCACCAATCGTGCGTCGATTTCGGGTAGACACCGCTCCAGCGTCAGGTGTAGTCGTCGTGCTGTCTCTCGATTTATCAGGCTATGACTCGCACCTCCGTCGATGAATATTTTTATTTTTCTCCCGTTGAGTCGTCCTTCCGCCGGTACAGGGTGGTCCACTGGGTCATCCCCCTTATTCAGCCGGGAGCGGTTGATAGCATGTATCGGAACCACTACTCGGTGGGGATGCTGTTTTTCGGGCGAGGAGACAGGGTCAGTAGGGGGCCCGACCGCTACTGACGCTTGGCGTTTCCCGACCTGTCTTCGTCGTTCTTCTTTATCTGCTTCTTTCGGGGGCAATCGTGAGATTGGTGACCCGGCTGGTGGCAATTGAAACATTGTCCCTTGCGAAAATCGTCCATGTGCTCCTTCGCCACTACGCCGTGAATCGTGGGCCGTGGATTTTGGCCACGAAAACGATTTCCCTCCCGGGAACCCGCTCTCGCATACGTCCGATGTGCGTCGAAATTGTCTGCGATCCGGACGGCTTCGTGAAACGTCGCCGGCAGTCGCAGTCGGACCTCGCATTTAATGTCCTGCTTCAAACCCGAAATGAATCGAGCTTTCTTCTCGGAGTCATGCATGTCGGTGATTTGATCGCATAACGCCATGAAGACCGACGCGTAATCCTGGACAGAACTCCACTGGCGCCAGTTGTCCAGCTTCGTGCGTGCGTTGTCCGAGGCGGATATGGGCTCGAACCGTTCACGCAGAGCTGTACCCCACGCCTTCCACGTGCGAATCTTGGTCGATCCAAAAATCGCGGTTGACCCTTGGGCAGCAGACCCAAAGTTTCCAAAAAACCCCTGTGTGTCGCCTGCCGAAAACTCCCCCTCCTACAATATATCGCCACCAATCTAGCGCAGGTCCCCGCAGTAGTGATACAGCCAGTCGAATTTTTAACTCGTCAGCAGTGATCCCAGCGGCATTAAAATAAAGTTCTGCCGAAAATAACCAGCCCGTAACAGTAGTATTCTTATCTGTGGGGTTGAACGGGGGCGTCATTGCCGGTTTGATTGTCGCTGTCGTCACGATCGGCATAAATGCTGGTGCGGCTACAGTAGCGGCTGCTTCTGACCGAGCGGCTGCTGCTGTCGCTGCTGCTGCTGCTGCTGCTGCTGCTTCGGCTGCTACTCGTGCTGCCACGTCAGCTGCTGCGGCGGCTTCACTGTCCTTGCGCTCCTGTGACACCTGACGTGCGATTCTGTCGAAGACGGTTTCGACACGTCCGATGCTGGCGACCTCCTCTCGGGCGGCAATTTTCTGACGCGAATCCTCTCGCGCCTGGCGTAACTCAGCAACTTCCGCACGAAGTCGCTCGTTGTTCTCCAGTACTGTAGCCATGCGCGTGTTCATGGCGTTGAACTGCTCCCGAAGCTCGTTGATATGAGCTTGGTCCATTTGGCAAATGCTCCGCCGGGGCAGGGGGAAATCCATAATGTGCCTGTACTCAAGTAAGCGCAAACGCTATCGTAGTTGGGCGAATTAATCAATCTAATTCGCGAGCAACCGCTTTGCAGCTTACGTGAGGGACTTACCCCCCCCAAAAAAAAATCAACTCACGAAAACGGGTGAGCGAGGAAAGTGGCTCTGAATACCAGGTGTTATGAATGAACAAGCAGAGTAGCGCGGAAATGAATAACGAAGTGTTCACTCAATGGATGACGATACAAGGAATGGCAAGCCAAGATATAGGAACACCAGAGCTAGTCTAACCATGCGATGGGAAGGTTCGGGAAGGAGATCGAAGGGTCTCGAAGTGACGAAGCGAGGCCTGGAGAACTCCCGAAGGTCGAACCGAAAGGTCTGGAAAAGCCGAGGCGGTTCTGTCAGAAGGTCTGGAACAGTCCCGAGGCTTCAGGTGTGTTCGAGCGTACGCGATAGCAGTACCGCTCGGTAAGGAATGGAAAATTCCTTACACCCAGCCTCTACAAACCCCAAGAGCCGAGGTCCAGGTAGGTGGTATACCACCAGAGAGTCCCCAACCACGAAGAGTCTCGAAAGAAACCCTCCAAGGGGCTACACCAAGTGAAATGTAACACTACATGAAATAGCGTTACTATTTTCACTATATTAATATTTATCCGCGTCCCTTGGGCTTGAAATCTTCAGCTCTTGGTCTTGGTTCTGCAAGATAAATTCTTCTTGAATTGATGAGGGCTTTCTGCACTCACCTGCGATGCAATGGACACTTCACACTCGACAAAATAGAAAAAACTCATGCGACGCGCAAACGACGACTTGACATGCGAGTTGTGAAAACTCACTAATGTCTTGATCGACACAAACCACATTGTGATACACCATTCAAGCACACACACAAGCACTAGATAGCAATGACATAGACTCACAAGTCATTCCATGCCATGCATGCACACATACGAACAAGGACGACAAGCTGAGTGCAAGCCATAGGGTTGCACCAACAGTTTCGAGCCCCGCGTACTGTGAAGGGGCCATGCGTTACACTCCTCCCCCTCCAGGTGGCAACGTCCTCATTGCCGTAGAGTGCTTCTTGGGATGGGTGCTTCGAGCGCCCCGAATCACATTATGACCAGGGTCAACACCATCCACTGGTTGTGAGGCTGCTCTTTGAGCCAGGTCTTCCAGATATCCGTGGACCGCAGTTTCGGTCAAATGTTCCTCTGGCCCCCATGAGTTGTGTCTAGGTCCATAGCCTTTCCACTTAATAAGGAACTCGCGTACTGTCTTGCGGCTGCGCTGTTGATCACGGTGCATGAGCACACGCTCAACCTCATAAAGGAGTTCCTCTTCGAGGACGATCGTTGGCGGAGGTAAGTACTTGCCTTCAGCAACGTACTTATTGAGCAGGGACACGTGGAAGACATTGTGAATCTGCAATGTATCGGGTAACTTCAACTTGTAAGCTACCACACCAATGCGCTGGATCACCTCGAACGGCCCAATCCATCGAGGGTGCAGCTTTCGTGCCCCAGGGATTTTGAGACGAATGTTCTTCGTGCTCAATAATACCTTGTCTCCAACCTCAAATGAGACTTCCCGGTGTTTCATGTCGGCATAAGACTTTTGACGCTGGTGAGACAGTTGCATCCAGCGGCGAGCAGACTTGAGCGCTTCTTGCTGCTTGCCCACAAAGTCTTTTGCAGCACGGACTCGTAGTCCACCGATCCCATGCGTAGCAGGTGTTGTGGAATACCGACCACAGTTCAGAATGAAGGGTTTTTCATGGGTACCTTCATGCACTGAATTGTTCACTGCGAATTCAACCACAGGTAACAATTCGTCCCAGCCATCCTGAGTTGGGCCAATGAAAGAATGAAGCATCTGCTCAAGAGTACGATTCGTCCGCTCTATCTGCCCATCCGTCTGGGGACGGAAGGCTGACGACATCTTTAGCTTCGTTCCTAGTGTCCGTGTAACTTCCTGCCAGAACCGGCTTGTAAAGCGCGGATCTCGGTCGGACACCAACACATGCGGTAACCCGTGTAAGCGGAAAACGTGTGCTACAAACAACTTGGCTGTATCTTCCGTGGATACGTCAGTTGTAGTAGAAACGAAGTGCACCATTTTGGTCAATTGATCCACAAAGACGAGGATCGCAATATGACCATCGCGTGTCTTGGGGGGGTCTGTGATAAAATCCAGTGAGACACTCTACCAGGGTTCGTCTGGAATCTCGAGTGGTTGAAGCAAACCACTGGGCTTATTCGTGTCAGACTTGTTGCGTGCGCATGCATCAAATGGCATTTCCATGAACGAGCATGGAACTTGTGTTCTCGCAACTTCCCTAACACCCATTTTAGGTGTTGAGTGTGGTCCTCTTCTATCTTGCAATAAACTAAGATGTCATCAAGGTAAACCAGAACGAAGTGCCCGATAGCTTCGCAAAACACATCGTTCATGGCCTTTTGAAAAGAGGCCGGAGCATTGGTCAAGCCAAAACTCAGCAAGTGCCATTGAAAATGGCCAAACAACGAACGACATGCTGTCCTGGGAACATTTTCCTCAGTGATGCGCAGTTGGTGGTACCCTTGTGCCAGATCCAACACGCTAAACCACTGAGCACCCTGGAGTCGATCAAACAGATCTTCTATCATTGGAAGAGGATAATCTGTTCTTGATTGTTATCTTGTTCAAGGCGCGGTAGTCGACGCACATGCGTAAGCCACCACCCCTTCTTGTTAATGAACAAGATTGGTGCTCCTTAAGGTGATGCGCTTGGCTCAATCCATCCCTTCATGAGGTACTCCTCAATCTGTTGTTTTGCCTCCTCGCACTCAGCTGGACTGAGGCAATACAAAGGTCGAAACGGTGGGAGCTTTCCAGGCTCCACAGGGATGGTGTGGCCCACGGCGCGGTCAGGAGGGAGTTCGTCTGGAATAGACTCAAAAACCTCCTTAAACTCATCTGCCAGTACCTTCATATGAGGCGGAAAATCCTCAATGTCGGGCGTCAGGGTTCCAGCTTCCTCGAGCTGTACGGCAAAAAGTGTGTTAGCAATGCGGTAATGTTGTTCGAATTGACATGCAAGAGCAAAGCACACGTCTGGGCATTCCGTAATTTGAACCGCCGGGATGGTTGTGTCGACAAACACCTGCCACTGGATCGGTTCACCATTCTTGGTGAAAGAAACTGTATTATCCTGGAAATCCAGAATAACCTCATTTGCACGTAACCAATCCATTCCCAAGACTACGTCGACACCCACAAGCAAGGGGAGAACGTAAGTGCGAATCTTTTTGCTATAGCCTTGGATTTCCATTTCGATCATTGTCCATCCTTTGCTTGGGATAAGACTATTGTCACCAAGACAAATGGGACTTGACGGTCCTTCAACGAGGACACCATGCGTTGTGACCCACTTTTCATCAAAGAGGGAAACAGTGGCACATGGATCGACAAGAATTTTCGCGCTATGTCCATTAACGCGACCCGAAAGGAGTAGATTTTGTTGATGCATTGGGCGGATGGGGCATGCCACAATGTTTGACGAGGGTTTGTAGTACACCTTGACATTGTGGCGGGCTCGTCCAAAGGATTCAGATTTGGTCCACGACACGTGGTGTCCCTTGTCCCAAGACGCTAACACAGCCCATCCACGAAATGATTTGAATGTTTCGCCCTTTCCTGTACGAGTCACCACGGCGACCGCAGTCAGGGGGTGCTCTTGAGTACAACGATTCACAACATCGAGTATAGAAGGCAATGTGTCAAGGCTACAGTAAATGACAGAGATTTTATCTCGTAACGCTTCGATGGATATAGCACCAAGTGGGTACGATCGAGGTGCAAACATTGAATTTTTTATTAAAAGAAGAGGCAAACAAACAAGAGATTTTGCATTCACCAAGCTTCTCTAGCTTTATTAATTCATCGTCACATAAAGCATATGCCTCATCCCCTCGATCTACCTGACCAACTAGGTACCCACACCCTAGTTGGACTTCTGAAAATCCTTCTTACTGCCAGAAGGCCCTTTGCCGCCATTGTTGTTGCCCTTAGGCTTGCCTCTATGCTTAATGGCATTCTTATCGCGGCACTGAAATTCCATGTGACTACGGATCAAATGGAAAAAAGGGATGGCAAGAAGCAACAAATCGTTATTATTAAAAACCCAAACAAAAGTAAAAAAAAAAAATCAAAACAAGAAAACAAACAAGAGGCGACGAGATCGTCTTAGGGTTGCGGAGCATTTCATGATGAGACTTTATTATACATAAAATGTTTTATTTCCATATCACAACAAACATTTGATTATTATTTCCATATGACAAGAATAAATGATGATGTTTCACATATTTACTTGAAAATTGAGGCACTGTGTGAAAATGAATTTTGAAGAGGCAACTTCCGAGTGGAGACATTACTTTCCCATCTTCTTAAGGCTCAAACCCGAGAGCGTTTGAGTCAAACTCGAAATTCAAACGACTGAGCTAAACTACTTGTCATGTTCGACTTTTTGTATTTAACCAAATCGTAATTTTGCGACGAAGGTCCAACAACTTCAGCAACTCGCTTCCCCTTTTCCTCTTGCCTAACAGTCTCCTCAGCAGAGCTACCTCTCATAGCACAGGTACGTCATTCACAACGTCCTAGGCTTTCAATTCACTGAAGGGTTGCATTTAATTTCCTCAGATTTCCTATTTTCTTTCCGCGACCTCTATAGCTCTAGGTGGAGATTTTGGGCTGCAGCCCATTTCGACCTTGTTCTAGGTCGTATTACTGGGCTGCAGCCCGACCTCGTTCTAGGTCGTTATTAGGGGGTTGCAGCCCATTTCAGCCTAGTTCTAGGTCGATCTACAGGGCTGCAACCCCTATCGACTTCGTTCTAGGTCGATTTTAGGGATTGCGACCTTTTTCGACCTAGATCTAGGTCAATTTATGGGGCTGCAGCCCACTTCGACCTAGATCTAGGTCGTTTTATTGAGCTGCAACCCATTTTGACTTCCGTTTTGCCGTTTTTCTGCAGCCCTTTCTTCTTACTTTCTTGTATCATTCTCTAATTTGTGTTCACCGTCTGTTTCTTGCTCTACTTCTTGCCTTAATTCCCGATCCCCTCTAATTCCCTTGGTATTCTTGTATACTTGACACAGGATTCGAAGCACTCATGAAAGCTGAAAAGTGGCTTCGTTATGGGCGTCAGCTAAACACCGTTTCTATTCCAAGCTGTCTGAATTGCATTGTTGCTTGTCAAAAAAAAAAAAAATTGCTTGCTGATGATTTTATTGCTATCATAAAATGTATTATCTCACGGTCGACATAATAGGCTTTCGACTTCCCCCACTTAGCTGGGGAAGCGATAGCCTATTTTTGTCAATGACAAAAATACGCCACTGGAAATAATGGGAAACAACGACAAACATTTTAGATTCAAATCAATTAGGGAAACAAAAAGTTATTGGGAAATTCATTTTTTTTTTAGGTTTGGTGGTTTTTTTCCAAATCACAAACTTGAAAAAAAAAAAAATCCTTACGATCGATCGCAATAGGTTGCTTCGCAACCCAAAAAGAACTGGCACAGGACTGTAGCTGGCATAGGCTCAAGAAAATCTGAGCACTGGAAACAGTCACAACATGAGTTGCACAGCTATGGAATTTTCAAGAGAGGCATGATTGAATTAAAAGACACGTCTTAACCCACCAGCCCGGTGTTGGAGAGCCCTCTATCACTGTCTGCAGTGCACACGTCGCTGTGGATGAGCAATTGGTCAGAATGGTTGGCTCTGGGCTTGAATTGCCCTTCGATCATGAGGGACTCTGCAGGGAAAGGAGGGTTGAAAGTTCAAGTAGGGGGTTTGAGGAAACAGCTGCTGTTGCTGCGGTTGATTTGAGCCCTTGGTGAGGACGGTTGGCTTCACCAGCTGCTCATTGGTGAGGGGCCTTGCACGGAAGGGATGGTTGGCAGTGGAAAAAGGGGGTTTGAGGAGGAGAATGGGATGGGAAGAGATGCAAGGAGATGACATGAGCAGAAAAAATCGCATGACCAGTGCAGAGGAGTAGACATGAGCAGAAAAAATCACATCGCATTGCAATAAATTGCGTTTTTGTGATGGTGATTTTATTTTTTCAGGTAAATCACGCGATGCGATATGATGTTCATCGCGTGGTTTTCTGTTAATTCCATTAAATCGCATACAAAAAATTATGATATAAATGCGATTTGCGATTTAATAAAATAAAATCACATGCGATGTTGAAAATCATCGCGTTGGGAATTATCGTCGCATCACCCCCCACCCCTTCATTTGGACTTTCTTCCCTCATGCTCGCCCACTCACGTCCTTCCTAGAGCCTAACCAGCCACCCTGTGTGACATTTCCTACTTCTAAGCAGCTAGGTACAATGACGGAAACAATTGTCGGGATGTTTTGCATTAACTACGGTTTTTTTGCTTTCTGGCCACTGTACATTAAGTCTTAATGTTTAATGGTGGTACACTTTGGGAGGGGCACATAGTGGATGTATTCACATCGTTAAAGTCCATAATAGTACACTGGATCTAACTTAGTGCCAAAAGATATACAAAGAGTACATCTGGACAATTATTTCCAAGGACAAAGAGCAAACTTCTGAACAGCGTTTCTAGTACCTAGTCCATCGACCCTTGACCTTGATCACCACCCGCACCCTCCGAGGTGTGTTATCTAGGAGGTTAGTGCAAAACTTTGCCGGGATCTTCTCGCACTCTTCCTACACCCAACCTTTTGCATAAGGGGGTGAGCACTAGGGAAATCGCAAAGGATATGAGCGTATGCAAGAGTATTGTGCACGATTTCTGATTCAATGTGATCTCTTATATCCTTCGCAATTTTCCTGGTGCTCACCCCCTTATGCAAGGGTGGGAAACAATTGTCCGGATGTACTCTTTGTATATCTTTTGGCACTAAGTTAGATCCAATGTACTATTATGGATTTTAGCGTTGTGACTACATCCACAATGTGCCCCTCCCAAAGCGTACCACCAATAAACATTAAGACTTAATATACAGTTGTCGGAAATTAAAAAAACCCTAGTTAATGCAACACATCCGGACAATTGTTTCCGTCACTGTAAGAACATCGACATGCTATCTAGTTTCCTGCAGCATGGCACTCGAAATCACCACCACCAACACCCAAGCTAACCAACCCATTTTTTCCTCATAACCCATCCATCCCTCCTAACCCAACCCTAAATCTCGACAACATCCAACATGAACTGAACTGTAGTTTTGCCAACGCCCAAACCACCTCCTCCCAAACCAACCCAAACTTGCCAACACCCGAACCACTCCCTCTCCCCTCCTACGCCAACCTAATTCGCCAACATCTCTGTTCTTTCGCCAACAACCAAACCACTCTCTCCCATACCAACCCAAGCCTAGTTCGCCAACACCCAATATCGATCCCCCTCAAAACCAACCCTTATTTTGCCAACCCCACCAATCCTCTCTACGCACCCAAACCTTATCGATTTCCCGCCAACACCTGATGCAGATCTTGAAGTTTTAGGAGCATGTGCCCCTAGGCTAGAAATTATAAGGAACATGGCGAATCACCTGGCATAACGCCACGATCGGGCCTCCGACCAACCTGGGATTGTTTTCCCGCATTGCGATTTAATTACGCATCGCGCTATTTTAAAAATCATCGCATGCGACTTTGGTTTTCATCGCACTCACAATGTGCGATTTACATTTCCTGAATTTTAAAATCGTGCAATGCGCTCTTAAACCGCATCGTTTTATATATTTATTTATTTATTTATTTGTTTATTTATTTAATCGCCCCCCATCGCGATGCGATTTAAATCGCAATCGCATTTTGATCATGTCTACAGGGAAGTGTTGAGAATAGCCCTGATCGTGCGAAGGCTGGAGAAGTCTACAGAAGTGGCATGTCAACAAAGTCTGTAGATGCAAGCCCTGCAGAAAAGGCCTGTCGACGAAGAGCGGATTTGTCGACAATGCGAGGCTCTGCAGAAGTGCTCGTCGAATGAGAGCATTTCCGTCAAAGTGACTTTGTTGCTGATGGCGCACCTCTTGCGAGAGGCGAATTTCTACAAGTGGCCTCTATGATAGAATGGGTGTTCTGTAGGAGTGGTCTGTGCAGATTAACGAGTGTAGAAGACCCTTCTGCCGAGGGGCCATTCGCAGATGGACTGTCGTCTGCAGAAATGCTCGTTGGAATGCGATTCTACAGGCGATCCAGCGGCAGAGTCAAAATTTGATACTGCGCTGCAGAGGGGCTTTGGGCGATCTGTGCCGGGGCCCATTTGCAGACGAGCTGCTTTCTGTGGATGGTTTACAGAAATACAGTTGAGGTAGTATTAGTGATTGCCTTTGTACCGTATTCTGTATTCTTGATTCTAGTGATTTTGTGTGTGCAAGCTTTTTTAA